CGCGGCATACAGCACGCCGCATCTGCCCGCATAACAATAGTCGCGCGAGCCTCAATCGGGGATCCATTATCGACTTCTTTCAGGCACACGCGGTATGTACAATGAAAAATTAATGGAGTTTCTACCCGACACCGCGCAACACTCGAACAAATAGACGTTGAATCGTATTATAACGCGCCAGATTCGATGCATTTCATTATCGATACGATATCCCGCTCGTTATGTTTTCGCCGCGACGTTTACGGCATCTGATTTCTACTGACGACGTTCTAAGTTCATTTCGAAAACTTGCAATGAGTTATATATTCTATATAACGTATAGAGTAAAATTGCGTGCAATTTCTCGAGATGCAGATTGTGTTTTTCAATCAATTTTTAAATCTTACTTGACAAATACTTTTAATTAATACCTATACAGAGCAATTGAAATAATTCCATTTGTATGAAAAATTTACGAAAAAATTGAAAGGCTGTAAAGACGTTGATTTTAAATCTTTATCAAGTATCAACAATTTTTAATTCGTCCATATTTCGTGAAAAACGATAATAATTTTTCGTTAAGAATTAAACAGTTATTCTGTATAATATAACATTGAATTATATAATTGCTCAAGTTTTCGGTATAAACTGATATTTTTGTCATTTACAAAACAAAAAAAATGTATTTCGCAAAAACAATTAAATTTTGTTATATCAACAATGTATCTGGTTGTTATTAAAAACTGATTCAACTAAACAACTGAAGACTAAATTTTTTCCTATTGCAGCTTCTTTAGAAAAGTTCATTTAGAAAATTTGTAATTAGATACTACTATTGTATCAAAAAGGTTAAAGCACACAAGCGTTCTATCGGTATAAAAAGTTGCGGAAGGGAATTTTGAAAGTACCAAAATCGGTCGTTCTGTATATTTCAAAAGATGAATGTTCGCCAATAAATTTCAACTTGTCTATATTTCGCGGGGGGGAGGGGGAAAAGGGCACAAGAGAAGTCCTCGAAATCAGGCACACCTGGGCAGTTATGTGACTGGGCGTGCCTGTGTTGGCAGGACGCGTGGGCCGGCACCGTATTATGCTGATCCCCCGAGAGAAAGAGAGACGACTCGCTCGGAGCCTGAATCGGGTCTCAGGACCCGCGGCGCGGAGAAAACGCCGCGTCCTGCTGCCGCGCCGCGCCGAGAACGGGCGTCAAGTGAGACCATACGCAAACGCGAACGTGGGCGACCAGGTGCAGCTTCGCCAAGCCGTGCTTGGTAATTATGGTATTCGGTATCGCGACACGTTACGGACGGGATGGCAAATTAACGATATCTTCGCGAAAAGTTAAAATTCCAATAAAAACGTGTTTAACGTTTCCCGATCGAGACGGAAACCTAACGTATATTCGAAATTTATTCGTGTTAACATGAGAGAGAACAGATATGTTGTTTGTTTATTATCGTCCGTAGATATTTAGCATATCTGTACGGGATTCCATTCACACGAGGTTGCAATCTGGAACTGCCGGAATGCAATGATAACGATGTACGTTATCACCAGAAGTACGCTATCTCGCCTTTTATCGTTAAGATAAAGGGAGAACTGCAACTTAATCGAGAGCGACTTCTATGAAAATTACGTTACCAGGAAGAGGTTGATAGCGTCCTGAAAAAGCGCGCACGTGTGCTCGGAGGTATCGCGATTCCTCCCACAAGCAAAATTCATGCGCGAGTCAAACAGGACAGATCCTCATTGCTGCTCATCGCATCGTAAAACGCCGTTCCGTGCACAGTGAAGGCGACACGTAGAATTCAGAAAATCGATATCCAATGAACGACCGGCTTCGTGATTAACACGGCGCCGTGTAGTCGCGATCGGTCGAGCAAACGACAAGATTGGCGGAGGTAGAATTAGAGGGATGGGCAACTTGTCTCTTAAGATGGTGCGCACGAGTTAACAGTACATCGATCTTAACCATCACCTCTCCCTGCGTTAACTACGTTAACTGCGTAAAATTCTTGCGATTAGATTTCAATTCAGAAATTCGAGAATCAATTCTCACTCGAATTCTTAGTTGATAGCTAGGTGTATATCAAGTAATAATGACAAATTCACGAGAAAAAGTCCTATTTAAATTCGCCAAGTTCGTCCTCGTTCTACAATAGATAGAACGTTCCAGAATTAGACAGGATGTTGTATTCCTAAAGATACGCAGGATCAAATAATAGCGTCCGCGCATTTCGGTCCTAAATGCAGCTGACACGAATATAACGTTCGATGATTCGAGTACACTTTTTAAATTCTTTGGAGCGGAATCTCACTTTAAAGAGTGAAAATTGAATCGGTGAGATTCACTAGACGCGCGTTTTAGTTAAAATAAAATGAAGAC